GTGTGTGTGTGTGGTGTGTGTGTGTGTGTGTGTGTGTGCGTGTGCGTGTGTGTGTGTGTGGTTAGAATTTCTGTCTCGCTTGTTGGAAAACTTTGTAAGTAACGAGACAATAATCTCTGTCTTACGATCACTTTTAACTCGGCCACACGTTCCCATAACTAGTCTTCTGAAATTACACTCTGAAAGTTGACTTCAGGTGTTTCATACATCCCATTGGCCATAAACCCGCAATAAGGTGAGCAACCAAGAGACGTTTCCGTGTAAAACTGCTAGTAAAATCATTTATTTGCACCTTCCCAAAGGAGCACCTTCCCGAAGGAGCACCTTCCCGAAGGAGCACCTTCCCGAAGGAGCCCCTTCCCGAAGGAGCCCCTTCCCGAAGGAGTACAAGTGAGTAGCTGAATCTTCTTTCTCTTCCTCCGAGGCTTTCGTTTATAACTTGAAAACGACTCGTCCGATGGGCTTGAAACCATCAACACTGCTGTATCGTAATCATCAGAATTTTGTGCTAGTTTGTTGTTCTGACTGAAGAAATTCTAATAGTTTACTAGTGATAACTTGGTAATGCCTCTTCAGATTGGCTTCAAATCTTCAGTGCTGATATTTAACTACTTTAGAAACTTACGCCGCACTCTGCATTATACCTTTTGAGTGCGTTGGGATACCGGGATACCGGGATACCGGGATACCTTTCTCGGTGCTTTGAGGTTAAGATGATTAGGATTACTTACATTTTTCAATAAATTTAATTATATAGTAATAATAATAATAATAATAATAATAATAATAATAATAATAATAATAATAATAATAATAATAATAATAGCAATAATAATAATAATAATAACAATAATAATAATAATAATAATAATAATAATAATAATAATAATAATAATAACAGCAATAATAATAATAATACTAATAATAATAATAATAATAATAATAATAATCATGCTGGGACATGTTAATGACCGATCTGTTGACCTCTGACCTTGCCTTAAAGGTCCTTCATGACACTTGATCTTTGCCTCACCTGTAGACCTTTGACCTTTGCTGCAGGTGTGGTAACAGAAGTTTGGCCTTGCTGCAGGTGTCGTTCTTGACCCTTGATCTTTGCTGCAGGTGTCGTTCTTGACCCTTGATCTTTGCTGCAGGTGTCGTTCTTGACCCTTGATCTTTGCTGCAGGTGTCGTTCTTGACCCTTGATCTTTGCCGCAGGTGTCGTTCTTGACCCTTGATCTTTGCCGCAGGTGTCGTTCTTGACCCTTGATCTTTGCCGCAGGTGTCGTTCTTGACCCTTGATCTTTGCCGCAGGTGTCGTTCTTGACACTTGATCTTTGCCGCAGGTGTCATGCTTGACCGCAGATGTAGTAATAAACGTTTGACCTTACCTGGAGTCTACCTGTAGGACGCTTGCGGGGGTCACTGCCCCCCGCGGCCCGCTACCAGACCAGGCCTTCTGGCTGCTAGCCTTAGTGATCTAGCAGTTAGTACTTACCACCTGTAGTCCAGCTTATGCACCACAGCCAGGCCGAGCAGGAACCGTTGTGAGGAATCTGTTATGTTTCTTCTTGAAGACAGTTAGGGGTTTGTTGGTGATCCCCCTTATGCATGGAGGGAAGGTGTTGAAGAGTCGTGGTTCCTTAACACTTACTGAGTTTTCTCTCAGTGTACTCATCGCTTCCCTCTTGTGTTCATAAGTAGTTGTTTCGGTATACAAGTTTAGGACCAATCCCTCCAGTAACTTTCAGGTGTAAATTATGATATATCTTTCTCGCCTACGTCCTAAGGAGTACAGTTCTAGTTACTCCAAGCACTCACAGAAATTTAGGTGCTTGACTAAGCACTGGAAGACTTGGTTTATATCACTGGACCACTGGAAGACTTGGTTTATATCACTGGACCACTGGAAGACTTGGTTTATATCACTGGACCACTGGAAGATTTCATTTATATCACTGGTCCACTGGGAGACTTGTTTTATATCACTGGTCCACTGGAAGACTTGGTTTATATCACTGGTCCACTGGAAGACTTGGTTTATATCACTGGTCCACTGGAAGACTTGGTTTATATCACTGGTCCACTGGAAGACTTGGTTTATATAAACTTGAAGGTTCACTGTGTCTTCTGTGGCTCTCTCAGTTTTATATAGAGTCTAGTATAGTCTGGGAAGGATGGCAGAGTGCCATGATTTACATTCTTGTCTATGTCAGATATAAGAATAAGAAATTGGTGTCGTTCCTCACCTTTGCCACAGATGTTCTTGACCTCTAACCTTTGCTGCAGGTGTCGTGGATGAGGGCCAGGGACCTTCACCTCCTGACGGTGGGCCGGTTCACCTACACTAGCGACGAGCGGTTCAAAGCGGTCCACCAGGCCGGTTCGCAAGACTGGCTGTTGAAGATTTATTACGTTCAACACCGGGACGCTGGTCCATACGAGTGTCAGGTGTCAACCACGCCCCCTATGACACACACTGTCTGGCTGACTGTTGTGGGTAAGTGACACACCGTTTGGTGCACTGTTGTGAGTGAGTCAAGTGCACCGCTGTTGTTTTTTGAGTGTTGTGTGTGTATGTATGTATGGAGAGAATGATGAACGTTTTTCGTTTACGGGCCACCCTGCCTTGGTGGGAAACGGCCGAAATGTTCATAATAATAAAAAATATAATTACACACACACACACACACACACACAACACACACACACACACACACACACACACACACACAAAACACACACACACACACACACACATATATATTATATATATATATATATATATATATATATATATATATATATATATATATATATATATTATATATATATATATATATATATATATATATATATATATACAGTATATCTCTCTATCTTGTTTGTCAATAGAGTTGGAGGACAGTGGAAGAAGCTCTCATATAACGTAATTAAAGCGAGTACACTGGCGACTTTAAAAATAGGGTGGACCGGTACATGAGTGGGTGTGGTTCGAGTGTGAGTTGAACCTGCCTAGCATGGGACAGTAGGCCTATTGTAGTGTAGGGTGTTAGCTGCACAGGTCTAGCATGGGCCAGTAGGCCTACCTCAGTGTTACTTCCTTCTTATGTTCTTTTTTTCACTCTCCTGAAATTATTAGATTGTTTTCCCCACCATACTCTCTAGCACACTCTCCTAAAGTCTAATCCAGTAATTTTTATGGCAGAACAGGCAGACACTGTTGACCAAAGTTGGGAAAAAATGTGTGCATGACTTTTGTTCTCTCTTTCCATGCACTGGTCCACAAACTGCGTCAAAGAATTTAATGTGAAATATCTGGACCCAACACAGGGGCCTGGATATCAATATAAGGTGAGGAATATTGAGGCCAGTGTGGGAGCTGACTTCAAAGGGAGAGGGAGAAAGAGAGAGAGAGAGAGAGAGAGAGAGAGAGAGAGAGAGAGAGAGAGAGACAAGGCCGGCACTGTCCATTATTGTTATATGGAAAACAATTGTCGGGAGAATTTTTGTTCGTAATGCGATTACTGAGACGAGATCTTACAGGTGTGAGACACACTGGTGTGAGATACACTGGTGTGAGATACACTGGTGTGAGATACACTGGTGTGAGATACACTGGTGTGAGATACACTTGTGTGAGATACACTGGTGTGAGATACACTGGTATGAGATACACTGGTGAGAGATACACTGGTGTGAGATACACTGGTGAGAGATACACTGGTGTGAGATACACAGGTGTAAGATACACTGGTGTGAGATACACTTGTGTGAGATACACTGGTGTGAGATACACTGGTGTGAGATACACTGGTGTGAGATACACTGGTGTGAGCTACACTGGTGTGAGCTACACTGGTGTGAGATACACTGGTGTGAGATACACTGGTGAGAGATACACTGGTGTGAGATACACAGGTGTGAGATACAATGGTGTGAGAAACACTGGTGTGAGATACACTGGTGTGAGATACACTGGTGAGAGATACACTGGTGTGAGATACACAGGTGTGAGATACACAGGTGTGAGATACACTGGTGTGAGATACACTGGTGTGAGATACACTGGTGTGAGATACACTGGTGTGAGATACACTAGTGTGAGATACACTGGTGTGAGATACACTGGTGTAGATACACTGGTGTGAGATACACTGGTGTGATGTACACTGTTGTGAGATACACTGGTGTGAGATACACTGGTGTGAGATACACTGGAGTGAGATACACTTGTTTGAGATACACTGGTGTGAAATACACGGGTGTGAGATACACTGGTGTGAGATACGCTGGTGTGAGATACACTGGTGTGACATACTCTGGTGTGAGATACACTGGTGTGGGATACACTGGTGTGAGATACACTGGTGTGAGATACTCTGGTGTGAGATACACTGGTGTGAGATACACTGCTGTGAGATACACTGGTGTGAGATACACTAGTGTGAGATACACTTGAGTGAGATACACGGGTGTGAGATACACTGGAGTGAGATACACTGGTGTGAGATACACTGGTGTGAGATACACTGGTGTGAGATACACGGGTGTGAGATACACTGGTGTGAGACACATTGGTGTGAGATACACTGGTGTGAGATACACTGGTGTGAGATACTCTGGTGTGAAATACACTGGTGTAAAATACACGGGTGTGTGATACACTGGTGTGAGATACATTGGTGTGAGATACACTGGTGTGAGATACACTGGTGTGAGACACTCTGATGTGAAATACACTGGTGTGAGATACACTAGTGTGAGATACACTTGAGTGAGATACACTGGTGTGAGATACACTGGCGTGAAATACACTGGTGTGAGATACACTTGTGTGAGATACACTGGTGTGAGATACTCTGGTGTGAGATACACTGGTGTGAGATACTCTGGTGTAAAATACACTGGTGTTAGATACTCTGGTGTGAAATATACTCGTGTGAGATAAACTTGAATGAGATTCACTGATATGAGATACGCTGGTGTGAAATACACTGGTGTGAGATACACTGGTGTGAGATACTCTGATGTGAGATGCACTGGTGTGAGAAACACTAGTGTGAGATACACTGGTTTGAGATACACTGGTGTGAGATACACTGGTGTGAGATATACTGGTGTTAGATACACTGGTGTGAAATACACTGATGTGAGATACATTGGTGTGAGATACACTGGTGTGAGATATACTGGTGTGAGATACACTAGTGTGAGATACACTGGTGAGAGATACACTGGTGTGAGATACACAGGAGTGAGATACACTGGTGTGAGATACACTGGTGTGAGATACACTGGTGTGAGATACACTGGTGTGAGATACACTGGTGTGAGATACACTAGTGTGAGATACACTGGTGTGAGATACACTGGTGTAGATACACTGGTGTGAGATACACTGGTGTGAGATACACTGGTGTGAGATACACTGGTGTGAGATACACTGGTGTGAGATACACTGGTGTGAGATACACTTGTGTGAGATACACTGGTGTGAGATACACTGGTGTGAGATACACTGGTGAGAGATACACTGGTGTCAGATACACTGGTGAGAGATACACTGGTGTGAGACACAGGTGTGAGATACACTGGTGTGAGATACACTGGTGTGAGATACACTGGTGTGAGATACACTGGTGTGAGATACACTGGTGTGAGATACACTGGTGTGAGATACACTGGTGTGAGATACACTGGTGTGAGATACACTGGTGAGAGATACACTGGTGTGAGACACACAGGTGTGAGATACAATGGTGTGAGATACACTGGTGTGAGATACACTGGTGTGAGATACACTGGTGAGAGATACACTGGTGTGAGATACACAGGTGTGAGATACACTGGTGTGAGATACACTTGTGTGAGACACACTGGTGTGAGATACACTGGTGTGAGATACACTGGTGTGAGATACACTGGTGTAGATACACTGGTGTGAGATACACTGGTGTGATGTACACTGTTGTGAGATACACTGGTGTGAGATACACTGGTGTGAGATACACTGGAGTGAGATACACTGGTTTGAGATACACTGGTGTGAAATACACGGGTGTGAGATACACTGGTGTGAGATACGCTGGTGTGAGATACACTGGTGTGAGATACACTGCTGTGAGATACACTGGTGTGAGATACACTAGTGTGAGATACACTTGAGTGAGATACACGGGTGTGAGATACACTGGAGTGAGATACACTGGTGTGAGATACACTGGTGTGAGATACACTGGTGTGAGATACACGGGTGTGAGATACACTGGTGTGAGACACATTGGTGTGAAATACACTGGTGTGAGATACACTGGTGTGAGATACTCTGGTGTGAAATACACTGGTGTAAAATACACGGGTGTGTGATACACTGGTGTGAGATACATTGGTGTGAGATACACTGGTGTGAGATACACTGGTGTGAGATACTCTGATGTGAAATACACTGGTGTGAGATACACTAGTGTGAGATACACTTGAGTGAGATACACTGGTGTGAGATACACTGGCGTGAAATACACTGGTGTGAGATGCACTTGTGTGAGATACACTGGTGTGAGATACTCTGGTGTGAGATACACTGGTGTGAGATACTCTGGTGTGAAATACACTGGTGTTAGATACACTGGTGTGAAATATACTCGTGTGAGATAAACTTGAATGAGATTCACTGATATGAGATACGCTGGTGTGAAATACACTGGTGTGAGATACACTGGTGTGAGATACTCTGATGAGAGATACACTGGTGTGAGAAACACTAGTGTGAGATACACTGGTTTGAGATACACTGGTGTGAGATACACTGGTGTGAGATACACTGGTGTTAGATACACTGGTGTGAAATACACTGATGTGAGATACATTGGTGTGAGATACACTGGTGTGAGATACACTGGTGTGAGATACACTAGTGTGAGATACACTTGAGTGAGATACCCTGGTGTGAGATACACTGCTGTGAAATACACTGGTGTGAGATACACTGATGTGAGATACACTGTTGTGAGATACACTTGTGTGAAATACACTGGTGTGAGATACACTAGTGTGAGATACACTGGTGTTAGATACACTGGTGCGAAATACACTGATGTGAGACACATTTGTGTGAGATACACTGGTGTGAGATACACTAGTGTGAGATACACTTGAGTGAGATACCCTGGTGTGAGATACACTGGTGTGAAATACACTGGTGTGAGATACACTGGTGTGAGACACACTGGTGTGAGATACTCTGGTATGAAATACACTTGTGTGAGATACACTGGTGTGAGATATACTGGTGTGAGATACTCTGGTGTGAGATACACTGGTGTGAGATACTCTGGTGTGAAATACACTGGTGTGAGATACACTGGTGTGAGATACACAAGTGTGAGATACACTTGAGTGAGATACACTGGTGTGAGATACACTGGAGTGAGATACACTGGTGTGAGATACATTGGTGTGAAATAAACGGGTGTGAGATACACTGGTGTGAGATACATT